CACTACTGCTGAACCAATATCACCAAAACAAGCTCTGGACTTTAGTTCCCTTGCCTCCTAGTCAATATGTTGTAAGATGCAAATGGGTCTTTCGAATCAAAGAAAACTCATATGGCATAGTGAACAAGTACAAAGCTAGGCTTGTTGTAGAAGGTTTTCATCAAAAATTTGGTTGTGATTACACAGAAACCTTTTCACCAGTTGTGAAACTTGTTGTAGTTTGAATTATGTTGAATTTGGCTCTAACTGATTACTGGCCTATTATAAGGAAAAACCTAAGCATCACATCGACTAGAGATAAGACAATTAAAGATTATATAAGTAAGGAACAACCTTCACTTTACAAATTGGTTTTATAGAGTTGAGTTAAGCCCATAACTCACATTCTAAAGTGGTATTAGAACTATCTAGATCCACTCTTAAAGGGTCACCCACCATTGATATGTGCACCAAGCCTAATATTGTTGGACATAAGGAAGTGTACTGGGAAAAACACAAATCCTACCTACCCTACATCATTAAAGAGGGTCACGCACTATTTATCCATATATCAAGCCCAATAGTATTGGACATGAGGGGATGTATTAGGAAAAACTCAAGTCTCATATCGACTAGAGATAAGAGAGTTAAAAAATATATAAATGGGGGACAACCTTCACCTTACAAGTCGGTTTTATAGGATTGAGTTAGGTTCATAACTCACATTCAAAGACCTATCAAGTAAACTGATATTAATAATGCCTTCCTCAATGGCTACCTAGAAGAAGACATTTATATGGTTCAGCCTCCAAGATTTGAGGATTTTGATAAAAGTCTTGTTTGCAAACTACAAAAGGCAATTTATGGTTTAAAAAAGACTCCTCAGGCATGGTACATGCGATTGACAAACACTCTTCTCGGGGCTTGGATTTGTTCCAAGCAAATGTGATCACTCTCTACTGATTTACAAAATGTGTGATGTTTGTATCTATATATTGATCTATGTGGATGATATAATAATTACAGGAAATTCCGGTTCCTTGGTTCAGGCCTTCATTACAAAACTACATGATGTATTTGCTCTCAAGCAACTTGGTGATCTTGATTATTTTGTGGGGTTAGAAGTCAAACATTCTTCTTCAGGATCTCTTCTTCTATCTTAGGGTAAATACATCAGAGATCTTCTGCAAATAGAAGCTATAGAGTCTGCCAAAGGAATTTCTACTCTTCAAGCTAATCTCAAACTGTCTAAATTTGGTTACAGTTGGAGGTCTTCAATATGTTACTATAACCTGCCCTACAATTGGTTATGCTGCCAACAAAGTCTGTCAATATGTTACTATAAGCTATAGAGTCTTCCAAAAAAGAATTAGTCCGAGGAACTATTGATCTTGGTCTACTTTTTCAGCCTGCAACTACTGTTACTCCTCTTGCTTTACAAGCTTTCTCAGATGCTGATTGGGGATTTGATGTAGATGATTGCAGAAGTACTTCAGGTGCATGTTTATTCCTTGGTCCTAACCTCATTTCTTGATGGTCCAAAAAGCAAACTCTTGTTGCTAGATCAACTGCTGAAGCTGAATATAGAAGCCTAGCCATGGCTGCTTATAAAGTTCTATGGGCTCAGTCTCTTCTTCATGAGCTATATATATATATACTAGTCTCTTTGTTTATGAGATCAAAACAATATATGAAAATACAAGTTCTCATAAATTTTCTCTCTCTTAATTTCTTATATTTCCACAATACTAATCACGATTCTAGCATAATAGTCTAGATTCATTAGCACAACAAATGTAAGAGTGTTCATCAACCATAGTTTTTACTATAGTTAATAGCTTTTAATTAGATTTAATTAGATTTATAATCAGTCCTTGATTAGCTCATTTACTTGATGCATGAGTTGTGTATCCCAAATACTTTATGTTAAAACACCATATCAGAGCATATTAGAGTATAGCATTTTACTTTGTTGCATCTTTTCTGTTTGTACCTATGTATGGATTGTTGTGTTGTAAGTAACTGTTCAGTTAGTTAGTTAACTTTGTAAGCCTTTGTCAGTTGTTTGTTGTTAATTAGTTAGTTAGTTAGATTTCTTTGTAAGCTTTTTATGGATATTTCTGCATCTATATAAGGATGCATCTCTCTCTTGTATCATAAGTGAAAATTCATTTTCACCAGATTAATAATGCAGATTCAGTTTCTCAATAGAGCAATATTATTATTCACTGCAAGTAGTATCTGTTGTTTTCGTTGTATCACCCAATTTAATTTTAGCCAGACCACAGAAGCACATCCCCCAGGAACACACTAATACACTATCCTTGGTACTTGCCCTTACATTACATTAATACACTAGTATATGACAGCTTATTCTATGCTCTCTCTTGCTCTTCCACAAAACTCATTCACTAAAATTACTTATGAAACAAAATCCAAGCAGGATAACTAGCAGCAACTTGCTGCAGATTCTTAGACCAAATATCACTAACTCTAATATGTGTGTTATGTGCAGAAGCCATTTATTCTTGGATGGAAGATGGAAACTTTCTTTCAGAGACCTGTCTTTCTAATCCATTGGCATGTGTGGCTTAAAGAGTTTCTTTGTCCCCCAAACTTGATAAGGGGTAGAGCTACATTGTTGGTCATTCTTTTAAGTTCTGCTAATGGATGCTTCGATTCGAGGTAGTTTGTATTTCAAAATTGCAAAAAGACTGAGCATCCTTACTATCATAGTTTTCTCCTTCTCTCCTTTATTTATTCGTATTCTAAGTTTTAGAAGATTTCTTATCCTCCACCTAGTTGTATTTTACCTTCTTCCTCCAATAATTTTTTTTTAAAATAAAGAACAAAAGGGGACACTCAAAGAAACCATGCTGAAACTCAAATGTTTCTTGCTTCTTTCCCCTATTTTTGTATTCTCATTTTAGTTGTTGAATCACACCCAAACACTTTTTACATCCCACCATTTGGAATACAAAAACACAAACAGGCAGCCTAATCATCTTGTATGTTGACTGTTTAATTAGCTTGTTAAGCATGTTTCCACCCCATAGCTTTTTTAGCTTCTTAGACAAATAAATCAAAAGAAAATAATGATATAAAAAAATGGGAGAGTAAGAAATATTAATATATTATCAAGAAATCCAAAATAAAAAACGGAATAACTATGCAGAAAATAATCCATTAACTCAAAAGGACAGCCAAATCTCATTACCGTACGGAACCTCCCGAAAAAACAACATGAGCATTGACTCATCAAAGACAAGAATACAAATGTGTGTTCTTATAACTGATTTTATCTCTTTTCTTTATATATCAAATAAATATTCCTCATTTTATTTGAATGCAGTCAGTTTTGCACAAATAAAATGAAAGGCACGGTCATCACACCTTTCCTATTTGAAGGTCCTTACTGCCTAAGGTTAACTGGGCTGGCTAAAGGTCTGAGTCACTAGTTAGCAGTCTAATCAAACAGCCTGTCTGGATTTAATAACTCTGCCTATTAGATCGCAACAGATTTTCATCGTTCATCTTTCCCTTTCCATCTATTGATTCTATTCCATATATTTCAAAATAGTAAAAATGTATTAAAACAAATACACAAAATAATTCTACATATAGAATCATAAATATGCACATAGATCTGTGTATTTAACCTGTAAATATTACTACCTACGTACCTATATATAAGACTCAATTATCTAATTCACCAAGATTAAGAAAAGTAGTTAATCTTCTAACCAATTAGAATGCATGTCCTATACTATTTATTTCTCATAATTAATACTCATCTTTCTCCTAACCAATAAGAGTGCATACTCTTTAAAGAGTTTATAGCTAATTTATTTTACCAAATTAAAAGAACAAACTTTAATTAGAGATATTTTAGTCTACAAATAAATAATATATTAATATATGAAATAATATGAATTAGGTCTTATATAAAAGAACAAGCAAGAGCATCATTGTATTTTACAAAGTTCTCAGGCAAAATGGGATTGCTTACAGAAAGATCAAAGGGAAAATCGACACAACCACAACACCAATCACAAGAAACATGTCTAAAATAAAATCATATTGCAAAGTATTTACTTACCTGAGAAAGTCCCACGATGTTGTAACCCTGACCTAGATCACTCATCTTCTTTACCTATAGAATTAGATGGAAACAAAAGCTTATTCAAATATAAATTATGATTAAACTAACAGAATAGAAAATTACCAAACAACTTCACACCTTCTTACAGGCAATAGCTGTCTGCATAGACATAGAGTAAATAAATGGTCACTAAATTGTCAATCATCAAACATTAGCAACATGGAAACACTACATTCAAGAATCACCTGTTTTAATAGAGGCTTGGTCCAAGAATCCCATGATCCATTTCCAATTTCTCTACAGATAGGTCAAGTACATATAACTTTAAGTTATCTTCAATGAAATAAGCTTTCTGGGTAAAAGAAATTCTCAAGTAAAATATGTACTTTTCATCTTATTAAAGAACAATGGTGATAACATCTGCTAAATTGGAAAAAAAAAATTATATACCACTGATATTAGAGATATTCCAAAATATTTTGCACAATTACCTCTCCCATTAGCAGTTAGTGACCATTGGATTACAATTTGGGATAAGGACTTATGACAAACTGGTAAATACTGCTCAAACAAATGTAATAAATATCAAGAAATTTTGCAAAAACATACAAACAGTATCCCGGTGAACCAGACATCTCGCTTAGAATCTTAATAAAGTTTCGCATGCCCGAATTTTTGCATGCGTCTCCAATACCTGACACAGTTTAACACACAAAATCAGCAACTTATGACTAAGCATCACACAATTTTTAGATAGATTTGTCTTACTATAACACTTCCAAATGTACAAAAAAGCACAGACATTTGACATCAATCTTGAATCTTTATCCTATGTCACATTAACAGAAGATAATTTACATTTTGTACCTCATATGACAATTAGTATTTCTCTCTCTTATAAAAAAATATTCATTACTTTTCCTTAGGTTTGTTACCTCTGTTCCTTCTTTACAAATTATGCTCGCCACCCATGTCAACCCCTCCCAAGAATCAAACCTGAACAAAGAATCCTTCTTCACAAGAATACTTCATATATATGTTCTCTCCTATAGTTAATTGATCAACATAAATCATAGTTTTTTCTTATAATTTATTTTCAAAAGGCTAAACTATTATTTTTATTTTCTTGATTTATTGCTATTTTTCTGTTAAATATGTTCTTTCCTATTTTAACCAGTATTTTCCTTTAATTGTGATGTATCCTGTTTGACTAGGGTTTAGGATTATATATTGTGATTGTCGTATAATTCTTTTCTAAAGTGTAAGATTATTATACTAAGGGTTTTTTTTTTTTCTTGAAGGAAACAAAACTCTCGAAGTGAGGTCCTCTTTCTTTCTTTGCAAATTCGTAATCTTCAACAAATAACCTTAGGCTTACATGGTATCAAGTATCAATTATCAAGAGATACAATCTTCATTTCACCCTAGGAAAAAAGTTCAAGTAATGCCTTTTACAACTGCCAACTTGACACTATAGCAGGAGCAAAGCTTGAGGAGAATATGGAGGGGTTGAATCTACCAACATCTCAAATTTTTCATGATTCTTAAACCACAAATAGCAAGATAAACTCTAACCTAAGATAACATGTGGGAAAAGAGGAGATAACAACTATCCCCCGCCCCCCCAACCCAATGCAACTATTAGACATACTAATCCTCAATTAATGAGAATATTTACTTCCCCAAATGGTAACCTCTAACTATATTGATTGATATCAGTGTTACTAATAATGTTATGGACATTAAAATTGCCATATATAAAACTATTTCTGAAGTTCCACCAAAACGCTTAAGCTTTGAGGATAGTTGCTTCATGGCATGCCCTCAGTGCCTCTAACACTAACTTGGCTGCAAGAGCCAAACCTTTTCCATTGAAGACCTCATTTAACTAAATAAAAAAGTTCAAGTCAACCTGAACCTGGAGATGAAGCACCATCACTACATTTGACTCCTCTCACGTGAAGTGTTTACTTTAGAGGGAAAATGAAGAGTTACAACCCTTAATGAGAAAATCAACTGATAATGTAAGCCCCACAACTCCTTTCTTCCTTTTAGTCTTCATTTCTTCGTCCTTGGCTGAAACTAAATCTTTTTCTCCTCTTCTTCTTGTTTTATGAAGATTGAGCTGAGGAGAAGTTGAGCTTTTGGTACCAGATTGCTTGAAGTTTGGGAAAAATCAGGAGTCGTGTGGAAGCTTGTTCTCTTCTTCCCCCGAAGCTCAGATTCTTCTTCTCCGAGGTAAGGGAAGCTAGAAATGTGGAGTAGAAATTTATAGTGTTGCATTGTTGAGTTGATTTCAAGTAGAAACATGTAGGATTATCAAGCATGGTGGAGAAATAGAGTTGAAAAGTTGAGTTTTGGGAAAGACTTGAAAATGTGATGGATTTGTGTTGTTTAAGGTTTGCATGCGGTGTTTTTAATGATTTCTAAGTTGCATGTTGTGTTGTGTGTTGAAAATGTATGATTTTTTGTGTTGTGCCTTCTTGCATTGATGATTCTATATGTTTTGGGTGCATTTGCATTTCTGATTTTGGTGAAAATGGTGAAGAACCTATGTGTTTCTGTCATCAACGACTAAGCTCTTTTAAAGGGTTGATCCCTTTAGGGGCCGCGTGCAAGGAGAGCACTCCCAAGAGGCAAAGGGCTAAGCCGTTGGAAATGGTTGAGTGCTTTGTGAAACAGCTAAGACCTTTGGGGGCCATGTGCCAGGAGAGAATTCCTAGATGGAAAGAGTTGAAAATGTGATGGATTTGTGTTGTTTAAGGTTTGCATGCGGTGTTTTTAATGATTTCTAAGTTGCATGTTGTGTTGTGTGTTGAAAATGTATGATTTTTTGTGTTGTGCCTTCTTGCATTGATGATTCTATATGTTTTGGGTGCATTTGCATTTCTGATTTTGGTGAAAATGGTGAAGAACCTATGTGTTTCTGTCATCAACGACTAAGCTCTTTTAAAGGGTTGATCCCTTTAGGGGCCGCGTGCAAGGAGAGCACTCCCAAGAGGCAAAGGGCTAAGCCGTTGGAAATGGTTGAGTGCTTTGTGAAACAGCTAAGACCTTTGGGGGCCATGTGCCAGGAGAGAATTCCTAGAGGTAAAGCGCTGAGTGCTTGGGAAGCGCTGAGCCCTTTGGAGGCGCTGAGCGCTTTTAGAATTTAACTTTGTGGTCTTCATGAAAGTTGTAGCCTTGGATTTTAGCTTTCCAATGGCGTTGGAATCACCCAAAAAGTTGGTCTAGAACTCCATAGATGGCTGTTTTAGTGAACAAGGGTCAAGTTGTCAACATTGGTTTTAGTTGTTATGGTTTTTATAATTTTTAACAAAGTAGATGATGAAATTAGGACTTGATATCTTCATAAGAGTTGTCGGAAATCTTCTTATCTTTCATATGAGATAAGGATGAACATGATAAGAGTAGTATAACTCCCGATACATTGTTTTATGTGAAGGTTGCCATTTCACAATGAGTGATTTGGTTAAGTTGATAGTTGTTTTGGGTGTTTAAACTTATTTATGTTATTATATTGAGTAATTTGACATGATTTATGAGTTTAAATATGCAATAGGAGATGTATTATGTGACGAAAATGTTGTGTATTGATATATATGATAAAATGTTGAAAAATGATGAATGTTGTAATATGATGAGAAAACATAGTTGTGAGTTGAGAGTTGCATGTTGAACATTAGTTGTGTAGTTGTGTAGAGATGTTATGTGAGTTGAATGAGTTGTTGTGTTGTTAAAATGTGTTGTTAAACAGTGTTGATGAGTTGCTGTGTTGATAAACTGTGTTGTTAAAGTTGTGAGTTGACTGTGTTTAAGTTAAAAGTTAATTGAGATGATGAGTTGAAAATTGTATTGATTGTGCTGTGATAATGAGTTGTTGATCACTAGGACTAGAAGAAATGTTTTCAAAGTTGCTCATCCCATTGTGTGGATTGAGATAGTTGTGGTGCTCTAAGAGCTCAATTTGTTGAAAAAACCTCCTTGGGAAGTTGTCCCTTGGAGTGGATGATATGTTGTTCTCCTCTAAGACTTAGTTGATCCCATTGTGGGCAAGGTCGAAGCACACGTGTATGAAGCGATCACAGTATAGGGACCAGGTCGAACTATATCAATTACAAGCGGCTAATATGAGTAAAGTACGAAGTCGGGAACTTAGTTCCTAATTAGGTATCGGAGGGTTGTGGTATTTGGAGGATAGTCAGTAGGTTAATCTCATACGTAACTTAGTTGAGCTAGCTAATGTCGTGGTAGGCCTAAACCCAGTTGTCCTATCCTAACAAAGTACTATACTTCCTTGCTTAAGTGACAAAGTCTAAGAAACCGTTATCGTGTTGTGGATTTTTATCCAAATTTGTTGTTTATCTAGCAAGCCTAAAAAAGTTCTGTGTTGTCAATACAGTATAACTTAGCCACTTAGACTGCTTACCTATGTTGTAGGAGATCTCCGAGTTGTAATGCGTGACGATGCATAATTGTTGATGAGTTGATTTTGTATTGATGTAAGTTGTACATATGTTGTTGTGTTGTAAAGCTGTGGTTAAGTTATGTGTTGTTTATGTGTTGTATGTTGAACCTGTTGAGAATGATGATAATGTTGTTGTGTTGTAAGTTGCTTATATATATATATATGTGTGTGTATGTTAATTCTTTTCACTAGCTTGTCCTTGCATGTTTCCATATGGTGTGGGCTGCGATGATCATATTATGTATGAGAGCAAGGCAGGGATAGGTTATTGTGAGCTGTTGGATGCCACTTGGTGGTAGGAGCTAGAGTAGATGATCTTTTTGTGTATGTTACCTTGGAGTAGCATTTTGTCAGCATTGTATATATTTATTTGATCTGTTGAGTCTTTATAGTTGGATAGATGTATATTTATATTTATAATAATTTCAGTTATTGTTCCACAGTGTGACGGTCAAGGCAGATAGCCATAAATAACTCCTCATTAAAGGTTGTTAAAATTCATATACATCTTCTCATCAACAGCTATAACTCCTCATTTCTTCCCTCCGAAATGATGAGCCAAATTCCAGCACAACAACCCTACCATTTGTTGAAGGAAAAGTCTCCAACAGAATGACTGTACCCTACCTTTCCTTAAAGGAGAAGTTTCAAACAGAATGACTCTTGTGAGAGAAAGATATTAGAATTAAAAAAATCAGAAATTATTATTATCCTAATTGGTTGCTGTTTTCTTTTTGTTATGCTTTCTACCTTAACTAGGATTTTCCTTCAATTACGCTGTTTCCTATTTCAACCTGGGTTCTTAGCCTAATGTTTATTTTCTTTGAGGACACAACCCTCTAGTCATCCCATTCATAATATTCTATCACAAACCCTAGCTTCACCATCAACTCATTGTAACAGATTCAACAATGAACAACAAAAAAAAAAGCGTGAGTTGACCGAATTCAACAATCACTGATATACAAGATAAATAACTCAAACAGCAAAGTAACGGTTGAGAAAATAACATAAAACCATAAAAAAGCAACAAGGAAGCACGAAAACTAAATAAATCCAATTCAAGCATACTTATATGAAACTAAGGGTGTTCATGGATTGGTTTTTTCAAAAAACCAATCCAAACTGAATCGAACCATTTTATAAAAGTGGATCAGTTTGGTTTTTTTGAAATATAGATTGTTTTTTTTTAAATTGGATCGGTTTGGTGCGGTGCAGTTATCCACTTTTTACTCATATAAATCTTTTTTTTTTTAACTCAACCGATCCACCTTGTAAACATGGATCGGATAAGTGAACCGGTTTTATAAAGTAGTTCAGTTCGGATTTTTTTTTTAAATGAATCAGATTTTTCAATTCGAATTGGATCAAATCTATATGAATTCATATTTTGCACACCCTTATGGAACGATAACTTAACACAAGAGACAAAGAAGTAACTAGCATTAAGCAAAATGAAATGAGGAATGCGTGGAAGAAAAAGGAGGCACCATGCAAAACGATGAAGGGAACAGTTTGCGCTCCGGTGAATAACGCGAGGAAGAAGAGCACAAGCGCGAACACTCTGACGTTAGCCATTTCAAGCGAAGAAGCGATTGCAGCAAGCGAAAACGCAATCACTGTTGAGAATAGATAATAGTTATGTATATGGTTTGCGATAGAATGGATGGAGTTTATTTATAGAAGCAGAAGGCGGGATCTACAAATGTGGAAGTTGCCATTACTGACTCTTGCCTGTGCTTTACGATGCTGGGTTCCTCGTTTTGAAAATCGATTAGTGTTTGTTCCCCCCCACCCCCAAATAAGTCTTATTTTATTGTAATTGCTTTCCTGGCGATATGGGATAAGCACTCCGTACCTTACCAAGGGGCCCACTAAACTAAACTTAAAACTAAAAAGTCTTGCATTGCATTGTACTCCTCACACTATCGTATCCTTTTGTGTTTTGTGTTTGCGACTGTATTTTGGAAAGCGTGGATTTTATCATCCTATAGATCCCCAAACATGCCCTTTCTCTTAAAAGGAAAAAAAAAAATCTGTATCTAAAATTTTGACCCTTCATTATTATTATTATTTTTTTTTAATTTATCATGTACTGATAATTTTATTTAACATCAAGTGATGACTTGTGTTTTTAACCAGATTATTTAGAGTTTAAATTTTAATTTTAAATATTAATTAAGTTATATTAGAAGAAAATATTTATTTTGTATATATTTATGATTTTAGACAAAGAGTAGTTACTGTTTTGAATGATGATATTTTGTATTATAAAAAAACATATTCAATGACCCGGCATATGATTTGGTTAATTTATAAAAGATTTTTGGAAGATATATTTTAAAAAACTTATTTTTAATCTATGTATATCTTCATTTTAGTCTCTTGTAAAAAAATTAATCTGTCTTTAAAGTTTTTTATTTTAATTTTAACTTAATTGTGTTTTTATTTTTCAAGTATTGTAATTGTGCAATTTTATTTTTTTAAGTTTTAATTGAGTAATTTTAATCTTTAAAAGATTGTAATTGTGTGATTTTAGTCTCTTAATTTTTAATTGAACAATTTTAGTCTATCAATTATTATAATTGTGCGATTTTAGTCTTTTTTATTAAAATTTAGTAATTTTAGAATTTATATATATGAATATATATATATATAATGTTTTAAAATTATATAAATGTTTGCTTATTTAAGTTAACATATATTATAATTTTTTTGTTAATATATTAAATGATATATATTTATTAGACTTAATTGTGTTTTTGATCCCTCAAATATTACAATTGTGTAATTTTGATCTCCAAAACTTTAATTGAGTAATTTTAGTCCATAAAGGATTGTAATTGTGCAATTTTGGTCATTCAATTTTTAATTGAATAATTTTAGTCCCTCAAATATCATAATTGTGCGATTTTAGTTTCTCCCATTGAAAATTTAATAATTTAAATATATA